TCCGCTCCGCCGCCAGCCACAGCGCCATGTACCTCGGGCCCCGGCGCAAGAAGCTCTGGCGGGAGGAGAAAGGTACCGCCTCCCCCCCGCGGGGCAGGTGCCTCCCCATCCCCCTCGCCCAACGGGGCTGCCCAGGGTCCCCCCTTCTCCCTTCTAGGGGCCCCTAAGGAGGCGACGGCCGAGCCGCAACCGGTGTGGGGGGCGCCCCGGCGTGTGCGGAGGGTGTGAGGGGCGCCCCCGTGTCTCGCTCCTGCAGTTGTTCCCCCTCCCCCCCGGCCCTGTCCCGGCTGCGGGTCCTTTGGCACCCCACCCCCTCCCGTGTGTTCTGGGCCCTGCGGCTCTCGGGAGGCCGGGTTCGTGCTGGGCACGTGTGTGTGTCTGTGCGGTGTGTGTGTGTTGGCACTGGGCATGTGCACGTGTGTGCGTGTCTGTGCATGTGTGTTGGTGCCAGGCACATGTGTGCGTGTCTGTGTGTTAGTGTTGGGTGCATGCCCTCTTTTCTCTTCATTCCTGCCTTTCATTTGTATCTCCCTGCCCCAACAGCCACTTCTGCTTCCCGTCTCCTTTCCGTGGGGCTGTCTCCCTCTGCTCTCTCTGCCTTGGCCCTGAAGCTTCCTTTTCAGTCCTAAGTAGGGAAATATAACTAAAATGTAGATTGTCAAAACACAGCAGGCACAGACAGGACAGAGAGAAATAAGCCTGGGTGCCAGAAGGCCAGCATGGCACTGCAGTTTTCTGACTAACTTGGAGAGTCAGGAGGGGAGAGAAGGGTTTCTAATATAGAAACAGAAAGCTCAAACACTTCCATGGATATGATCAAAAGAAATATTTTTTAATGCAGTTAAAACTTAAAATGTTACTGGCATGTTTTTCTCAAGTTTTAGTCCTAGTGGAGGGTTCAGTTGAAGCAGGGAAGTGTCAAGTATTTGACCTGAGAAATAATTTCTTCTGAAAATAAACCTTATCTGCCAGGCACGTAAATGACAGAAGGACAGTGGCTTATACAGGATCAGGAGTTCTTCTCTAAACTTAGTTGTGCAAAAGGCCTGTACGTTTCATATATATATTATATAAAAGTTATGCAGGCTAGTAAACAGAACAGTTAATCAAAACATGCATTCAGTCCTTTTTGCAAGGCTTGTTGTTCTATTGTGACTGAAACAATAGCAAAATAAACCTCACTGATCTCTTAGTAATGTAGTCACAAGGTATTAATTTGGAATAGACAGTGTTGATGGCACCTGGATATAATATTGATGGTACAGTACAATTAAGAGGCTATAGTTTCAAGAGTATTTTATTTCTCGTGAAGATTTTTGTTTAAAAAGTATATACAGTCTTCAGACATCAGACTAGAAATTGTTTTTCCCACTTTGGCTAGAGTTTAACTTGTCCACAAACTTACTGATTAACCATCATGCTGATCTTGCAGTTTTGGGCTTAAGGCACTGACTGTCCCCAAAACAAGGCAACCATACACGCAATAATAGAAATAGTACAGAATCCTGTTACCAGCATCAACTAATTGAAGCTTTTTTATTTTTCTGGAAAAAACTAACGTTGACATTCTGCATAGTATTTAAACAGATAATATGTAATTGTGTTGTTCAGCAGCAATCCAGTGTGCATCACAACCCTAAAATATTGCCTTTTCTTAGTATTTTGTTGTAGTTTCCTTTAATAGTAGGATTTCTTGTCCATATTGCTGTGGTAGCTTGGAGAAGCCAGGGCCCCATCCTGTATTTGGTGCTGCACACAATGTAACGGATGGTCGCTGTCCCAGAACTTAGAAGAAGTAGAATAGATGTAGATTCATGAAGAAACAACAAAACAAATGCATAAGCCACTTTACTGGTATGAAAGAAAAATCAATCTGCTTGAGGACATCAGGCGCACTTATGTCCAAATGAACTATATAGAAGAAGGTATGCAGAAAAAATACTACTTAAAATTCACAGGTAATGTGTCAGATATTGTGCATATTTTCATAGTTGCAGTTGATAAAATGATTATACTGTGACAGAAGTTCTTAACTCTGAGTTTTCAGTTTATTGTTCTTTATTCATTATCTTAATATGTAATCAAGGAATTTCAGCTTTAAGGAGTAGCAAAACTGCTTTTTAGCTTGCGGGTGGATGAGGAAAGGTGTATAAAACTTAGAACCATGAATGGTTTCTCCTGTCTGTTGGGAACATTGGTAAGAATGTCACATTTACAGTCCTAAGCCTGCTAGCCCAAACTTAATGTGAGGTTGCTGAGTAGGAACAGTATCTTAGTAGGACTCTTGGTGCACTTTCATTTCTGGTGTTTACAAGTAGACCTTGTCATCAGTATCTAGATCCTAGCCCTTGCTATCAAGGAAGCTTCAGCTTCCCTGTTTGTATTAACCCCTGACTAGTAGTGGCTGGTGCCAGTTCTTAAGGCTTAGTTACTAGATGTTAGTTAGTATTACAGTGCTTGGGTTGTAAAAACCCTCCTTGATTTTTTTTTTTTTTTTTTTTTTT